TACTTTGAAAATGCAGGTGAACATGAAAACATTAAAAGGGAACAGAAACTAGTTAAAAGGAATCCAGTATTTTTGTGGAACATTTTCATGTGATGTGAACTGTTGTTAAGGGCTCCGTCAGGCTTTAACAGCTGTGACTGGAATAAGAACATAAAAGCTTAATCAGGAAAACATGTTAAAAAATGAAGACCAAAAAATCCCAACACTTAATTTGTTTTGCTGGAGTAAGCAAACTAAGTAAACACCTAACACAGGATAATAGAAATTTAGAGTAAAACCGTATGCTTGTCCTTTAAAATAAATTATTAAGGGTAAGCACCAAGAAACTAAGACCTAAATATGACCCTGAATTTGAACATTTCAGTAAAGAGATATTAAGTAAATGCCATTTTGGCATTTAACATTTTCCTGGAGCATAGCTATCATTCAAGTAGAAAGAAATTAAAACCCAATAAGGTTTGTTTTACCTTTGTCATAAACATAACTAGCAGGAAGGAAAAATTGCTGCTTATCAAATAGAATAGAGTTAAAAGCATCTGATTCCGTTGGGTGTATATAATATATAAAGATGTATTGTAGTTGATGATTGTCATTATTAAGCATGGGCTAATAGGGGAATCCATGCTTTATTTTATAAATGTATAATATGTATTAATATAGAAAAATTGGCCTACTTGTTGTGGACAGTTGCTGTAATGGTCTTTTCTCTTAGTATTTGATCAGGATACATCTACCTTTTTAGCATGGACCATACAGCAATTGTCAGAGGTCATATGGGATGTTTCAGTTTGAAGCTGGTCTGTGGGTGTTTGATCTCTGTGGTAGCAGCCCTGGATGATGCATTGGGAGGGAAGGAGGAGCTCCTTAACACAGGAGGAACCAGTTCTCAATACCTGCCTCCCCAACCATATTTCTCAGTGTATTCTTGGTCCCTCAGGATCCCTGTGGCAGACTGCAACACCTTCCTCTGTTTCCCATAAATTGCTTTTTGGAGCTGCAGAGATGACTCCTTTCAGATATACGTGACTCAACCTGTAGGTTTTTATGTCAACTCAATCCTTTTATTGATTTTTTTGTGGCAAGATGGGGACAGTGTGAGTGTTTGGTCAGGTTTTTCCATTAGCAGCAAAGAATGCACAAGTCCCTAGACCCAGGAAAGTCACCTTGCAGATGTCACTTGTGTATCACAAGCTTTCTTTGCTTTTTGAAGGATCTCTAAGCTGTAGTTTCCTGTAAGTATCTGAGCATTGCTGGGAAGTGTTCTCAGCTTCAATTGTCAGTCAGGCAACAAACTAATTTGCCTGGTAATCAGTTCCAAAAGCAGCCAGCACTTCTATTTCCACTTTCAGCCTTAGCAAAATTACACAGCATCTGTCATTTACAAGTTTCTTACACACTCATCTAGATGTATATAGAATAAACAAAGGAATCTTTTGAGGTCAGGTTGTGAAGTGCAACCATAAATAAGGAAACATGGAGCTGAATATAAATCTTAGAGCTAACTGCATTTCAAGAGCAACATGAAGGCTGCTAAAAGAATTCAGCTTTATCTATTGGCAAAACAAAGACACTGGATCTAGACAAGATTTTATTTGGTCTTTCATTTGCTTTTTTACCTTACACAATTCCCTGTTGTACACAATTTTGGTTTTCTGTTTTCTTTTGAATGTGACATGATTAGAATTCCCTTTAACAACTAAAACAAAAGTTTTGATGGATTTTCTTAGTAAGGTTTTCTGGAAATATTAACCTTTTTCCGAGGTAAAGTAACAAAAGACTGGATCAACAACTGGTTTAATAAATTAGGGATTTTCAAGTTGGTTGAACCTACAGGTATGCACCTTAGAGGAATTAGCTGAAGAAAGAATTGAAATCTTACTGAAATTTTAAGACTATTGAAGGATGAATACGACTCTCCAGGAGAGCGTGATAATCCCTTTTCAACCTACTTTTAAAGAGAATTGTATGATTTTTAGCCTAACTTAATGCCCAGAAAGATACAGGAACAAATAACTTACAAAATGTCCATAGGATGATGAGTAGCAGGGATTTCTGGGGAGGAATCTGTATCACATGAACCAGTCTGTCTGTGGGAGGGTAACAAGAATGCACAGCACAGCTCTGTAGACCCAGGAAACTCATGTAGACCTTGTGAGCATTGCTTGTGCAACAGGAGCTGTTGTGGGTTTTTTTTGAAGGATCTCTAGTCCAAGGAGAAACTAGCAGTAGTTCAGCATCAAACCAAAAAGGTATATTGACTGTAAGGCTTAAAATCATTCTGTCCAGAGTCTGTTAAAATTCACCATTTTCATTAATTTTTCCAGCAGTAGACTGCTGAATATGGTTGTTGTGGTTTGCCAGTATGAGAAGTGCTGTTTGCATTGTGGAGGTCAGAATCCAGAATAGCCCTTGAAAACAGAAAGAAAAAACCCTAAAATTCACTAAAGGCAGGCATATTTGGCCACTGTTAGTTGTGGGGAAAAGATTTTCATTTTTTTCCCCAAAATGATGTAAACTGATTTGAGATGTATAATAAGCATGAAAGAGCTTTTCCATTCTCCAGAGCAGTGATGAAGCTTGTGCTGGATCACTGTGGTGAGGTTTAGGTACTATACTTGAAGATGCGGACCAATGGAAGAGAATCAGGAGAGAACCATCAAAAATTATTTAGAAATCCAGAAAACACAAGGGAACAGGAAACATTGAAAGGACTGAGATTATACAGTGTAAAGAAGGTAAGATTAAGGCATGACAGGTATTGGGAACTGTAAAATGCTGATGCAGAAAATAAATATTCTAGTGAGGAAGTAGCAGTCTTGAATTTTAGAGAGAGATATTTAGGCCAGGTGCTAGGAAGAGGTTTTGAACAGTAAGAACAGAGAAGTACTAAAACATGACTTATGTGGCTTGTAGAATCTCCATTACTAAAGGTTTTTAAAAATAGATGAGAAAAACTGTGAGAAATAGCTAAACTAGAACTGATCCTGTATCTAGGTAATAGGATGGACTAGTTGGATTATCCCTCCCAGCTCTATTTTCTATTACTTTTCTAATCATCAAGTGTACATCCCAAGGCTCCAATTACTTGCATTTTCACACCTTCCCCTCATGTTTAACTTTTAGGAGAAAGCAATCAGTTTCCCATGTTAATGACTAGACTTTCTACTGGTTTTACTAAGGCATCCTCAGAAGAATCTTGATACTAGGTTCATATGCAAGGCAAGCATCAGTTTGCATAGATGATTGTTAAAAATTGGAGCACTATTACAAGGATTAATATTACTAAATAGTGTTTAGTCATTCCATTTTATTCAAATAAAACTGTCATTTAGAAAGGTATTCTGGCGTTCATACTCTTTCAATTAATTAAATTGTTTGCAGCATAGTCTGAAATTCTTGGAATCTCTGAGGCACAGAAGGGGAAAAGTAGTTCTAACATCTGGGTTTTACCATTTTGATCCCCAGTAGGGTCCAGTAAGTAACAGTCAGTTTTATTATTTATTATGCATTATTCATTGTGCCATCTCTTTTTATGACTGAAGTGATTTATATGCTGTTGTAGAAGGTAGAGCCCTATTGCCTGTCAATGTGCACGTTGCTTGGATTTCTCATTTTATTTGCAAAAATAATAAAAATTTGTATCTTACAGTTCTTGGTCAAAAAGTTGCATTATTCTCTTCTGGAACATGGTCTTATATGAAGAAAAAGCATACTAAGCACAACTATTCTATTATTATTTAAATTATTCCTCTGTATTATTGGTTTTGAATATTTATTAGTTTTTAGATAACCTCTTTCATTATTCATAAAGGGTAGCCACACAGTGATGAAAAAAGCAGTACAATGAAACCTTATTTTGCATAGCTGGCGTCTTTCATACAAACTGTTCTCCGGTGCTTTTTTTTTAATGAAGGCCTGCAAGGTGTTGGGAACCTCTGTGTTTCTTGCAATATCCCCTCCTTGGTTTCAGTGGGAGGGGAAACCATTCGGCACCTTACCACTGTATATGCTCTAGCATGGTTAGGGATGAAATAATAAATATCTCCCAAGAGAGATGGAAATGAAGAGGCAAAGGTTGGGAAAGAAAGATGTCTTTTCACATAAGATGAAAAACATATGAAGAATTACTGATGTAGAGAGAAAGAGAATGGAAGGTTATTTTAGGTGATTTATAGGATTTTCTTTTGAAGTCCACAGGACTCTATGGAAATAAGGGTAACTGCTGTACTGACTGCAGTATCTTGTGTGCATGTCCTGGCAGGAGTCGGCATCAAATGCGTCGCATGGACACATAAAACCCCACAGTAAGCAGATTGGGGAAGGATTATTTTCATGCACTAGGTCTCATCCTCATCTCTAGTATATATGGGTTTGCTTATACACTGAGGTATAAGATTTACTGTCTATAAAAGGTTTCTCATCAGTTCAAGTATGCATTGCTTTTAGCATTCTTATTATTAATATACCTACAAAGTACTCTTTAGACATACTGGTAGATATTTGGTCTCAACAGTTTTGCATCAGTGATCTCTTAGTCTGGTAATACAGCTTTTGTGTAGACAGGTGCTGCTGTTTATTGCTTTTGAATTTGTCATGTTCTAACTTCATTGACTGTCCACTTTCTCTTGCTTTATATTTTTGATGCATGACTCGCTCTCCTCAACTTGCATTACTGTGACAACTGCTAAAACTTAGAATCTTTTGACTGACTGCCTTGTTTTTATTAAATCCTATGCTTCATCTCTGCCAGACTGTGTACTGAAATTGGCATTTTAATGTATCTGACTTCTTGTTTAATTGCACCAGTCTCTTGTGTGATCCAAGTCCTTCACCAAGACAGCCTGGTTAAAATCTGAAATTAAAAATGGGCCTCAAAAAAGGTCAATTTTTGTGTTAATATTGTAGATCAGTCTGAAGCTTGCTTGACTCTGAAGAGCCTGGATTTTAAAAAACATGATAGTCTGGTGTAGGATTATTGACCAATTTCTCTTTGTTTCCAGCTGAGCTGCCAGGATCATCTGCAATCAAGCTCTCCTCCTTGCGTGATCTTCCAGCTCAGCTGCAAGAATTGTACCAGCAGGGCTTCGTCTTGGCTGCTGTCCACCCTTTCGTGCAACCAACTGATGACAAAGAGAAAACTCCCCAGGAACAAATCTTCAGGGCTGTGCTTATCAAGAAAACAGAAAGGTAAAGCACTTCCAGTGAACTGGGATAAAAATAGACAATGTGATTTCCTGCTGAGTTTTGACCTACATCAGGAAATTATAGCAGAGTTTACTGTGCAAGACTTGATTTTTTTTTTATTTTTTTTTTTTTTAGTGGGCTTGAATAGGCTTAACATGTTCTTCATGTTTACAATTCATCTGCAGTTTGGCAGACGACTCAGGGAATAACAAGTTGAAATATGCTCTGTATTTTGGGATGTGTTGTCATGAGAGGCAAACAAACAAGCCCTATGCCTGACAGTTTGTGAGGATGATCCCATTGGTACCCTTTAAAAATTTATTAGATTAAATTAAGACAGAAGAAATGTTTGCTTAGAAAAGGCATATTAGATGGCTACAGTTAATGCAATTAATTTGAGAACTGCAGTACTGATACATACTTAAGTTTATGTGTAAACTTTAGGCCCTTCTTTCCTCTAAACAATACAGATTCTTTTAATTTTTCACTCAGTGCAAACTCCTTAAAAAAAAATTACTCTCCTGCTTTGTTCAGTCTCTTAAAATGCATTAAGAACATTCTACATAATCAATCAAAGTCTGAAGATGAATAAACAAACAGTAATACTGTTCTTTCTTGTTTTAATCCGATCTAAAAAAAGTCAATAGCATGTGCTGCTAAAGAGCCCTGAAGAAAATTAGAATGTGAATATTTATAAACACACATTTATGATTTTTAGTTAGTGATTTAAAACACAATTTAATGTTATCCAACCACCCACAACTCTGAAGCTATGTGTGTTGTTGCAGCGATTCTGTACAACTTTCCTACCTTAGCTGCATTCCTCAGTCCACCCCTTCTTACAGTGACCTATGCTGAAGGTTGGGGGATAATTAAACCTCTATTTGCCAATCCTAGTCCCACTCTTTGTGCTGATGCTTGAAGGAAAGGATATAACTGGTTTAGACACCTCTTTAAAACTAAAGTAGAATGACCATTCAATTTGCTACAGCCTGATAATCAATCGGTAGCAACTACTGACAGGATCAAACTTCAGTCTGTGACCTAAGGAAAAAGTTTTGCATTTCATTAGCAAATATATGTAGGCATTCAGTGTTGCAGGCAATTTTAGCTCCTGAAATAACTCTCAATTTACCTTGACTTGCTTTTAGTTTTAATACAGACCTTTGTGCTGGCTTGCCTGATACTACTGTTTAAAGGGTTTGCAGTTTTATGGTCAAAACATAAAGTGTTTGGCTGAACTTCTTGAGTAATATTGGGCTGAGCTCGCCTGGTTTTGGTGCCTTGCTTTCCCTGCCTACAAAATACCCTGCTGCAACTAATGAAGGTATTTACATACATGAGTTTGCAATGTTAAGTATGCACTTAAGCGCTTCTGCTGGATCAGGGTCCAGAGGTTCAGCATCTTCCAGGACTGATCTGTAAAGACACATCAGGGAAAAACAGCATCCACCTCAGCAGAGTGATATGATCTTCAATCCAGAGTACTCAGTGTGTTGCTCCTGTCTCGTCCTGAAACCAGTAGTTTACATCTGTGCAGAATGATTGTGAAAGAGTACAAAATCTTAATTGCCTACTTACTCACTTGGGTGCCAGTGTTTCACACACTTTAGACAGCTGTAAATGACTGTACAAAATTGAAGACAGTAGAGAGTCTTGAACCAATTATATTTCCTTTTACATTCACACTCCATTTCTTTGCATTCCCTTATCTGTCATTTCTGACTGACTAGGGATGTGGAAGAGACTTGGTGCAGTGGGAAAAAACAGACAAGTACCAGAAGGGGAAGTGACATCAGTTTGGTGTTTCATGTAGTTTAAATGTTCCTGAGTTTGGCTGAGAGTATGGCAGAAGCTGCTTCCAGAGTGCATGGGTGCAACAAATGTTTATATTGCAAAGTGCAGTGAAGAGAGATGGGTGTTCCACAGATTTCAGGTGACTATGGCCTGCATAGAAACCAGCTGTATTTGAACTGTGAGTTTATGCCAGTCCAATAACAGCTGGGGAGAAAAACCAGACAACAGCAGGAAAAAAAAAAACCAAAACGACATACCGTTAATTTTCTTAATTAACCTTTCTCATTATACTGCTGGTAAAGAGTAAATGATACATTTTTCACTGGGGACTATCAGGTCTCTGGCACCTGTAGGCTGTCTATAAAACAGTTGAACTCTTGGGTAGAAGTTAAGGTCAGTTTAGGATATTGATCAGATGAGTGGTTATTCCTGTCCTAAGATTTTAGGAGTGTAAGTGCTACAGCTATGGTTGTAGGATCACTAGTAACATAATGTACGCTCCGAAGTACAAGGTGGTCCCTTGCTGTTTTCTGTAATGGTGGTGCCAGGCCTTCATGGAGAGCCAAGGAGTCATAAAAAGCTCTGTAGTTTGTTCGGGGCCCACCCTCGGGATCCCCGGGCACTTTCTGCAAAACATCTAAGGCTGTAGCTCCTTTCTTACTGCAGGTGTTTCACCACAGATGGCTCCAACACTATATACTTCATCTGGTAGTTGTCTGTGGCTTTCACCACATTTTTGTTGCCTGAATGGAGCAGAAATGAAATTGTTGTATTAGTGCCTTTTTGGTACAGTAATGTCAATTCTGTGTATACAGAGACAGAACTGAACACTTGAATTAGTCTTTAATCAGTGTTGCACATTTATATGTCAGTTTTATAGCAATGCCTCTCCAAAGATGGGAAGAGGCTATACTAGCTGCAGCAGATGATGTGTGTCAGGAGCTACGTGCTGCTGCTGTCGCTGAGATTTGCAGTGCCTTAATTTGTTCAAGAATAAAATGGAAAAGGTAGTGCTTAGACATTGATATGCATTAAAAGTCACGGAAAAATTAGTGTTATTCCTCCTATTTTGCCGTTGTCCTGGAGTTTTAAAATTCTTGGTGTTAATTTGCAATGTAATTCTACACCTAAGGTGACTTTTAAAATCACTATACATTAGTTTTGTGTTTAAGCTGTACTGGTATCTCTGTGGCTTTGTTATATTAGCTATCTAATAATTTCTGGTAAATAAGGAAGTAGGAGTTGTTTCTGTTGTAGGACATTTGAGGAAACACGTTCCTAACATATATGGAAGCTGTAAATGTTGAAAAGCAAGGTTTGACCCTTGGAAACCTTAGAGAGAATATGAAAGTAAAGGACGGCTTTATTTTTTTTTAAATCAACAATACAATTGTTTGCACTGCAAAAAGTGTCATGTTCAGTTTAAGTAAATTAAGTAAATATAGGAGTGTTTAATTCTTTAGAGGTACTGGGCGTGAAGGTAGTCTACCAAGTGGCTGAAGGACTCTGCCATTGATCTCATTAAATTTAATATATTAAATTTAAATATTTTTGTAGCACCTGATTGCATTGTGCACACTAACCAGTTGATTGGAAGTGGTTTGGAAGTTGAATAGAGTCAGATAAAGGAATGACAACTCTCTCCTTCTCTCTCCTTCTCTCTCCTCTCTCCTTCTCTCTCCTTCTCTCTCCTTCTCTCTCCTTCTCTCTCCTTCTCTCTCCTTCTCTCTCTCTTTCTCTCTCTCTCTTTCTCTCTCTCTCTTTCTCTCTCTCTCTTTCTCTCTCTCTTTCTCTCTCTGAATTTCAATGGACTTAAATAAAAAGCAATTGACGTAGTATTTGTGCTGAGTTCTGAAGTACTTGGGTTTCTCATAGAAGGCATCTCCTAAAAAGAACATGCAAAGAAAAATCTTCAAGCCCAGGTTTTTAACAGGGTTTTTTGCTGAACATAGGAAAGGCTCCGGGTGTGAACTATAGCCACTGGCCTGCTGGTTCATGTTGATTCACGCTTGAGAAAAGTTGATTCACACTGATTTACACTTGAAGACAAGAATCTTGGGAAAAGAGATATATGGTGGTACCCTGGAAAGCACGAATGTGTGACAGCGTGTCTCTCCTGGTGGAAGGGACAGGGGAAAGTCAGTGCATTTGGGAGATTCTGGCTAACCAAGATAAGGAGACTGGCACGTGTGTTGCTTAAGTTCCTCCGAGGAACAGAGATTGTTAATTCTTTGTGTGTGTAATAACCTTTCTATCTTTGTGCTTTTATTTCCATACTCACTCTTTTCAAATATAACAATCTCTGTTTAGGTGTCTTGTGCGTGTTACCGTTTCAGACAGCTTATGGCTGTTGCAGATAACTTGTTCCCTGCAGAGAAATTACAAAGTCAGCCCCTGAACAAAACTGTAACAAAATCGTAGCACAAAGCTGCTTTAATTTATTCCCAGCTCCCTGTAGTGTGACACCCCTGTCTGGTATCTTAAAGTTTGAAAATTCAATGTCAGTTAAAATGTTTTAATTTCTTCTTCTAAATACTCTGCACCAGAAAGCGCACTCCATTCTCTTCCACTAGGAAAGATACATGGTCCAGGCTCATAAATTGTCTGCTTACAAAAGTTCTGACATGTTTGCAGATGCTCCCTTTCACCACAGTAGAGTGAAGCAGGGGATATAAATTGAATTCCAGGGAGGAGTTTTTTGTCTCTGTTGCTCCATCTATGTCTTAGGACATACCCTTCTAAAGGTTTTGCCTCCAATCAAAGCAATCAGCAGGAAAATATTGCCATGCAGAAGCAGACTAAGTAGTATAATTTAAGAGTAATTTTTTTAGAGTAGACTTCGATGTTTACCTCAAACAACTTTGCAGCTGTTTTCTCTTTTGGTAAAATAATGAGTTGTCAGGTGTTTCAGTGATTCACTTGATGAGATGATTCTGATTCTATTTCTAGAATTTCCCTATATCCAATTAATCCTGATGAAATGCAAACTTTCATCACTTGGACAAAAATAGTTCTATTTATATGCAAAGGGATTTGACAGACTGAGTTCAAAAGTTTAATAGTAAAGTAGGATTTTTACAGTGTCTTGGTTTTGCTGGTATGCAACATCAATTCCAAGTGATTTCAATTAGTGGTATCTTCTGAGATATAGCTAAATTTTTGTGTCCTCTGTGTCATTTAAAGTCCGGATTTACAGAAAATGTAGC